TCCAAAAAACAAACTTATATAGTAAATCCATATAACAAAACAGAGTCAACTCTTAATCATTAATAACAGTTGGCATTATACTAGGCGTGAGGGCAGACAGCCACTCGACAAAAGATATGTGATCCAAAAAATGACAAAAGGAAAAAAAAACAGAAAAGGTAAAGAGAGACCAGCCGTTGGCCAGCGAAAAATATGAACAGCATCTGGCCAACTCGCTGTGTTCTAGTCTACACCGAACCGTCTATTTGTTCCTTCAACAAAGTGATGCCTACGCACTACATTTCGTCAACGCTTCGTTATCACAATAGGTATCAGAACCTGGGAGACTGGGGGGTTGGGGAGAAGTGTGGCACCGCTTGGCACCCCCTCTCGAGAGAAGAAAAAAAATAATGAATATATATATATAAAATGAAATATATCGAGTTGTAGGGCACGCGCTTGACAAGCCTTAACTCCTGAAACTTATGCTAGACAAAGTGATAAACATTGTTGCAGTCTTATGTCCTTAGTGGAGGCCAGGGCTAACGATGGCCTCCAGGACTAAAAATTAACATATGTTTACCTCTACATTTAGAGCCAAAAAAGAACAAAAAAGTCCTGTACGTGGTAAAAGTATGACTGGAAATATATCCAAAGCACCCTTAAAAAATGTCTATTTATCTATCATAGTTTTTTTATTTCTCTCTTACATTTAAAGAACAGAAAACAAGGTAATGACTCCTTACACGTATACTTGGTCTTAAGTACCGAAAGAGAAGCTAAATTTTTTCTTGAGTTTAAGTTCCAATCGGACTTCGACCTAAGTTTAAAAGAGAGACTTAAGACACGGAAGGTAAAAAAAAAAAAAAAAAAAAAAAAACGAGAAAGGGTGGAAGTTCACAGCCATCTCCTCGTTCAACTGATTTTTATTTTTTCATTTATTTATTTTTTTCTCCCCACGACAGGACAGGATATTATTTTTTCCTTGGTTTTTCTTCTTCTTTTTTTGACTCAAAGTTCTACATCAGTTTCAAACATTAAGGTTACAGGAGTACAACATCGGCCCTTAAACATGGACACACGGAGAGACAGTCTAAAAAAGGGGTAGAAAGTCCAGGAGGAAAGGAACACTAAGTAATCAAGTGCAAAAGAACGAGACTAAGAGAGACAGACAGAGAGAGACAGAGAGATACGTTCATTACGGAGACTTGCGAAATACGGTGAACAGTGCGCTCTACCTTACGGAAGTGAACAACTGATATCAGTGAACAAAGCAGTGAGTGCAACAAGGGCGGTTTTTAAGGTTCCGTGGATTTAAGGATTTTTTCTTTTTAGACAATATTTTTTGGGGGTTGGTGACGTCATTTTCTTTGAAGGGGGGGTAGGACGAGGGGGGTGGGGAGGGGTAGGGTTCGGTGAAGTGTTCTTACTTTAGCAACAATTAAACAACGTCCAACTACGCACAGGAGCAGTGCACGGGTATAAGGTATAAGGTAGGAGATAGCAAGCGATGGAAGCGAGGGGAAAGAGGGGAAACTCTGATGGAAAAGAGGAAACAGCAGCAAAAAGCGATTTAAGCACAAATAATGGTACAAAAAAACAACAAAAAAAACGGGTAAGCGTGCTTGCGATATGCTTAAGGGAAAGCCTTGGTAGTCGTATGTATCTAGAAGGGGAAAGGACCATGAGAGGGGAGGGAAGGAAGTAAACAAAAAATCAACAGAACTAACTTTCTATCCAAAGAAATCAATAATTACTCTACTCTCATTAGCTTTAACTACCACAAACTACGAAGAAAGTAAAGGCTTATGCAAGGATTAGGAATTTCAAAAAAATGGCTATTCGGTGGAATAGACCATTTATTCGAACAATGATTAAATAACACTGTTCATTCTTCATTATTGACATGTGATTTTGGGGGAACACTAAGCAGGGTGTTTGGTGCCGCCCCTTACACAACCTGCCTAGGGGAAAAGGGTGTATGTTTGTGTTGTGTGTTAAGACTAACCAAGCATGCAAAGGTAGCACTCCGAAGTATGCAAGCGGGAAGCAGTGATAGAGAGATGGAGAGATGGAGAGATGGAGAGATAGATCGATTGAGAGGTAGATAGATGGATAGGTAGATAGATAGATAGATCGAAAGGTAGTTATATAGATAGATAGATAGATAGATTGATAGATAGATAGAATGATAGGTAGATGGGGTGGAGAAATATGATAAAAGGAAATGAAGTGGAAGGAGAGAAGTTGAGGTTGCGAGTCAAAGCTTAAGAGGCCAAGAAAAAATAGAATAAAAATGACGAAAAGGAAGTAGAAAAAATGCATGAGAGGGAACGAACGAAACTTTTAGATTCGAAGAAGAATCGTAAAAGGGAAAGGGAAATATAGAGAAATGAAGGAATAGATACTGAATCTCCAAAATTTGATAACAAATAAATCGAAAACCATTAGTTAACAACAGAAAATCTGAAAACAAAATGTTCTTGAAAACATGAAAACAAAATGTTCTTGAAAACATGAA